CAGATTTGAATACAAATGCGGACCTAATTAGTTAATGAGTCTTCATTTGTGTTCGTCTAATTACGTTGAAATGCTCAATAGTTAATGCGATATTTAAAAAAAGAATATTTTACAAACGTAAGAAAGCCTCAGCACTTGCAGATGATATCAAATGTTCTTTTTTACCCACGGTTTCCTGCAGCTTTGCAAGGCACTTTATATCTGTTTAATTGTTAAGATGCAACCTAAACTATACTGTTTGATACACTCGAGAAGGATTGGGTCAAATGCTTCTCTGCACACTGCTGTGGGGTCTATCGTGTTGGAGACTTAAATAGCTAGTCGGACGCAATCCTCCACATCTCCGAAAAATGACGCTTTGTGCGACATTGGAAGACCTTTCACCCTGGTCCCATGGCAACCGTGAGGGATGGGGGAACAAGCTTCACTTTCCCGGCTGTAAAGCCGCACAACTGACCATATCCATCTGCGTCAAAGTGCCTCTTAATGATGTTGTAGTAGCGGGACTGTATGATGCTGTAAACTGTTCTTCTCCCAGCTGTCTCCTGCACCTTTTAGCTTTCTTTTACGTTCGAATCAGTCAGCAGTCTCCTACGTCTATGCAGCTAAGTATCACAGGCACTTGTGCTCTCTTACTCTGCGGCCCTATACAAACGGTTGATTGCTATATGAATATTGCTTGCTCACAGTTGTCCGCTTTAGTTTATACCGGTCCAGGATGATGATTTCCTATCTTATGCCTACCCCAGTTTGATCTATGCAACTGGACAACCGGTATACTCTTGCAATTTTAAAAGTATTCAATTATCGCCGTCGCAATTCTCCGACGCATGCAATTACGTCTAGCGTAATCAAAGGCGACAAAATGGGGTCACTTCAATATGGTCCTGAAAAGTTTGTCTCTCTTGTAAGCAAGAGTCTTACGAGGGTTTCGGAGTTATTCGGCCAGCAGGGCAGCATTGTAGTTGAAAGCAAAGCTCTATATGTTAAAATGCGTTGCCGGTAATATTTATGCCAAGCAGAATGCCGCTTATACTCAGGACCTGTACTGAGCACCGTCAACAACGCAAGTTTCAAGTTTCCAACGCCATATCAGGTACAAGAGATAGAAGGTGTCTGGTTAGTGCCTAGGATTTTGATCATGCGTTCATGGTCTATCATGCGCATTGCATGTTAAGAGTCGCCACTTGGGGAATTCTCTTAATGACTTACCCACAGACTAATTATGTGTGGTAGCAGGCCTGCCTCAAATGCTTACTCTAGCGCTGCAGGATCTGCCATTTTACCGGCACGGTTGGTTAGGTGTCGTATTCTGACTTTGTGACTGCACTACTATCTGCGCGTGTCTCCGACTTTCCTACAGTTACCT